CCCCGAGCACTTTGCAGATAATCTTTACGGCTCTGGGCCTTGGTGTCATACTAAGAAACCCGCCCCTCCACACCCTACCTCAAAGGTTATAAAATATCTCACCCCACATTTTTCTAACACTTCCGTGTTTTAATGTCTCCACTTCAATCTTTAAGCCACCCGGAGTCTGCATGTGCTGTGTGATTCAGTTTTCAACTTCATTTTTTCCGACAGACTACAAGTCGGCCCGACACCCTGTATGTTACAAACCTCCTTTTCCAACTGACCCAAAAGGCCAATCCGACCCGAAGTCCCACGACGACCGATGTCTGGACCGCTCTGTCCCCCCCGACTGCGCTCCACGGGGCTTCTGCTGCGCGCAGCTCATAGGGCGTTTCCCCTTGTCTTTGTTTACAGAACCAACTCCTCGCAAAAGCAGGGGTGCTGGTCCCAGCAGCTTCCCTTTCCCTCCTCAGCCCCCCAGACGTTCTCTTCATGGACGCCTTATGCTACGCCTGTTTCTTTATTAAAAAGGACGGCACTTCAGGCCTAACAACCACGTAGGACATGGCGTGGCCCTGGCCAGCGAGGCTCAGGTCGGTGGGGGTCGCCCCACGAGGCCAAGGCGCATGCAGGAGGCAACCGACCGAGGTTTCTCGCCCTCTCTCGTCCTCTCTGAAAATAAGTAAATAGCATCTTTTTTTTGTACGGTGGCATTGGTCTGTCTGCCTAAGAACCCTAAAACATTTTCTAAATTTCATGTCTATAAACCAGCAGTTTTCAACCTTCCTCATCTCACGGCACGCAGTAATGACTAAAATTCTGCAGCACACCAAAAAACACGTTTTTTCCCATCTGACTCTCACGCATGCGCGCGCGCGCAAAAAGGCGTAAATCCTTCCCACCAGACTGCTTTTGTGGTGCTGGCTGCTGTCACTTTTCACTCACCAGCCTAACGGAAGGGAGGCCCGCGTCCGACCCAACGGCCAGGTTGCTGCCTGTCTCCGGCGCCCGCTGACAATCGCCGCGAGGGAGGCGGAGTTACTGATGAGAAAACCGGAGCCGCGGCGCTCACCCTGAGCCTCTGCTCTGTCTGCTCTGACCACAGGGAATCACCTGAGACATGTTACTCAAGGTTCCTGATACAATTTGTAACGACACTGAAACAGACCTTCACCATAAAGCAACCACAAAGCCACTGTGCCGTTCACTCGAGCACTACGTTCAGGACGAGGGCTTCACTACAGACCAGCACTGTGACCCCCACCCCCCACCAGGGGCGGTGGCGTCCTCCGCCGGGAGCCCGGAGTCCCCAAGGCCGGACGGACTGGGCTGGGCCGGGGCGCAGGGCGGCCCCACCCCCGCAGGCCGCACCCAGGGACCCGGGCGGGGAGGGAGGAACCGTCGGCCTCACCACGGGGGGCTGACTGCGGAGCCGGCCCCGCTGGCACCCCGACCCCTCGGACGCCTCCCTGAGGAAGCGCGGGAGCAGCCCCGGTAACTGGCGCGGACGCGGGGTGCTGCTCTGGCAGGGCCCACAGGCTGGCAGGTGGAGGTCACACCCGTCCCCCCCCGCCCCCCCGCCCCCGAAGCTGTCTTTCCCAATCTCACCGTCCAAACCTTCCCCTCCGAGGTGTCAGCCCCTTTCCGGACTCTGCCCCACACAGGGCAGCTGCTGGCACTGCAAGGAGGGGCTTCTGCTGCAAGGGCACGGGTTCAACCCACGTCTCAGATACAAAGCAAATCAGGTTTCACGGTGACGCCCAGTGCTGCCCGACCTCAAGGGGGTGAACGGGGAGGGGGCTCCCCGTGCCCCGGCTGCCCGGTGCAGCTGGCGAGGGGGGGTGCACTAAGGGCCAGGCTGCAAGGAGCAGCCGAGGCCGGCGGCACGCGGAGGACGCCTGGCTTTCTCGGGCTCTACCAGGTGTCTCAGCGGTTGCCCAGGGACCAGCCAGAGCAGAGGCGCCTGGGGGCTTGTTAGGGAAGCTGAACCCGCAGCACCTAACAAGCCCCCAGGGCCCAGTCACGGGGCCAAGTCCGGAGACCACCCGCCCCGCCCCTCCTGAGCCCTCCCCTGCCTCCTTCACAGGAGACTTCCTGAAGCCACATCTGAACAGGCTGCCTCCTCAGCCCACAGGGCAGCCCGCACGGGGGTCCCGCTCCCCACGCCCCCCGCCCCCGCAGCCTCACCTGAGCCCAAGAGAAGCCTCTCCGCCCCTTCGCACCGGAGCCCCACCCAGCCCCCAAAGCAGCTGGCACCCTCCCGGCCCACCTACCTCGCCTGGCTGGGCATCTCCCTGCTGCCCCCATCCATGCACAGCTCACGGCACCCATCACGGGACCCTAAACGCCACCTAGGGCTTCCTGGGCGGACGCCAGACCAGCACACCCTGCAGCCATGCTGCGCGCCTGGCTGCCTCAGGCCCCCTGGGAGCCCGGGTTCTGAGCTCGGCTCTGCCCCGCCCCCCTGGCCTCATCTCGGTGCCGCCCGTGCCGCCCCGGCTCCCCTCCGCCCCGAGTCCCGTGTCCGGTCCCTCCTGCCCGCCAGCACAGGGCGGCCTCCACCGCCAGAGGCCGGAGGGAGGAGGGACTTGTCTGTGGCCTTCCCGTCCCTCGGGCCCGTCCTTAGCCAGACGTGGCCTTTCTCTTCAGCCTCCTTGTTACAACCTTGTCTCTGTTTCCCCCCAAAAATCCATTCTTCATTTGGCAATCTAAACAATCTCTTAAAGTTCACAGCTTGGGGCTTTTTATAGATTTTATTCATTTATTTTTAGGGAGGGGGAAGGGAAAGAGAAGGGAGGCAGAGAAACATCTATCAGCTGCCTCCCATAGGCGCCCCCAACTGGGGGCCTGGCCCGCAACCCAGGCCCGAGTCCTGACAGGCGATCAAACTTCTGGTTTGCAGGACGATGCTCCACCCACTGAGCCATCCAGCCAGGGCCAAATTCGCTGGTCACTTCTGCGTAAAACCATTCGATGGCTTCCCACTGCACCCCCCCTCCACAAAATCCAAATTTTCTTCCGAGTGGGGACACTATAAAAGGCACTGTCCTCACCAGGCCGGGTCCGCAAGCCAGAGACGGCTCTGACCAGACAGAACCCCGCTCACCAGGCGCAGCCCTGGGCGAGCTCGCCAGGGCACTGGGCTTCAGCCACACCGCCCCCCGCCCCCGGCCTTGGCTGCCGCGGCCCAGTACTTGCCACCAAGCACCTCTGTATAATTACCTGGCGAGTGCTCGATAAACAGAAGTAATGGAACGGATGCCGTGAGGAGCCCGTTGCTGGAACCGGCGCCCAGCGACCTTGACACAGACTGGTCACCCTCAAGCAGCCGCGCAAGGCCCACGGCAGAGGGGCCCTGGCAGGGGGCTTTGCGCCTCCTCCCATGGAGAGCCCGAGCCTGTGTTTCCTGACCCTCCCGGCCCGGCCCGGCCCGGCCCTGTCGCTCGCTGTGGCCCAGGGACCACAGCGAGCGGGACGCGCGTCAGCCCCGAGTGCAGCCCCCAGGGGCCCAGCCCCCGCGCCCCTGCCTCCTCAGGGCCCGACCGCCACGAGCAGCCCAGCCGGAGGGGGCCAGCGGGGGAGGCGCAGCCAACACACACCAAGCAGACCCGAGGGGACCCCTTGGACGGAGCCCTGCCCAGCCGGCCACGGGGAGCCCACGGCCGCTGTGACAGCCCGGTCATGGGGGGCAGCACGAGGCGGCCCCACGGCACCCATGCGTCCAGGGCTCCTCGCCTCGGCGCTGCCGGCGCCTGGGGCTGGCAGTGTCCCTGGAGCCCACCCTGAGCTGTGACAAACACAGATGACTGCAGACAAGCAGCGGTGGGGACAAACGGGAAGACAGGGGCCCCACGCCCGGAGGCGCGTAAACACCTGAGAGCCCGGCGTGGGGAGCGCCCCTGCTCCTCATCGGCGTCTGGTGTCCCTGCACGTCCCGCGCCCCCCTGGTCCCCGAAGGACAGCGGGGGCTGGGTGCGGGCCGTACCTCGACCTGAGCCGGTGGAAGTCACCCCACACACGGAACCCGGCAGACGCAAGGAGCAGAGGGGGCCTGCTGCCCTGCTCCCGGCCAGGGAGAGGGCCCGCGGGCCACAGCCGACGAGGCTGGCTCCCCGGGCGGCGCCAGCCGCTCCCAGGCCAGCAGGCCGAGGAGCCACGGCCGGTGAGAAAGCCGGACGATGAGACAGTTAAAAGCGCATCTCAGTAGCCGGGGTCCAAGCCCACATACAACCCATTCTCTTACATTTAAAGCGTGCGTTTATCACGCGTGATGAGTACCCCGAGATTTACACAATGCGACACAGGTCCCTAACCTCGGCTGTGCAACGGCTGCCAAGCGGAATTTCTGAGTAGGTTTTCATCTCCCAAATTCTCAGCCCCTGTACGTGGAGGCCTCTCGGACCTCCCAAATCTCTGCTCCTGACGACCCAGACGCTCAGCCTCGGACTGTGCTATCCAATGTGGCAGCTATGAGCCAAGTGTTTTAAAAAATTGATTGTATTGCCATAACCGGTGTGACTCGGGTGGGTGGGTGCCAAGAGGTCGCTGGTTTGCCTCCCGGCCAGGGCGCAGCCCTGGGACGCGGCTCGGCCCCCCGCTGGCGGTGTGTTAGAGGCGGCCGATGCGCGTTCCCCTCGCACGTCGAGGCTCCTCTCCCTCCTTCTCCCTCCCTTCCCCTCTCCCTCAAAATAAATAAAACCTTTAACAAGAAAACATATAAAATCTTCAAAAAAAATTTAATATTTCAAAAAGCTCCTCCCTGGAGTCAGGGAATCGCACTGCTGCTGGGAGCGGGTCCCTCCTCTCGCGCCCGCACCCCCCCCAACCGAGCGCACCACGTCCGCGCGGACCAGGCGCTCAGACCCAACACCAGGCCGAGGTGCTGTCGCCTAGCGACCGCGAGCCCCGAGTCCTGAGCGTCGACGCCGAGCGCAGTGGGCGCGTCCCCGGCGGGCGTTCTGCCCGAACAGCGCCGCCGACCCTCGGCCTGCTCCCCGGCACCGCCGCAGAGGCCGGCGATGCGGCTCTGGGACCGGCCAGCGCCGCTGCAGCGCACGGCAGGCGTCTGTGCGGAGGAGCTGCTTGGAGACAGAGGAGACTTCGCACAGCCCGGCTTGGCGCCCTCCCAGCGTGCGCCCGGGTGCAGGTGGCAGGAACCCTTTGTGGCCACTTCTGCGCCCGGAGAGCACGTAAAGAGGGCGGGACAGGCACCTGCTGACTCACAAGCACATCTGAAACACCTGCCGCTCGGCGCTGGGCACCACAATCCCACCGCTTCCCAGGGAACGCCCCCTTTCCCTTCTCGCCTCTGGGTCCACAGCAGCCACCCCGAAACCCACCCCACACCCCGTCGACGGCTACGTGGGCCCGACCCACAGACCCCGGCTGTTCTCAGGAAAACACCGAGGAGCCGGCTCCTCCCTCTCGGGCTCTCCTCTGGCCGCTGCCCGGCCCGGTCCTGGGTGCCCTGGCGGACGGGAGGGTGCCGTGCCGGAGATGGGCGCACAGCCGGGCGGCCCCGCCCTGAGGCGGACACCACACAGGCAGGGACCGCGCAGTCGAGAGCAGGTCAAGAGCCGGGCGGTGACTGGGAAAAGGCTCTTTGAGGCGGCGACATTCAAGCTGAGACCTGAAGGATCCAAGACTCAAGGGCCCCGGGCCAGGCGGCCCCGGGGGTTAGAGCGTCGCCCCCCACAGCACCCGACGCACGCACGGGCGAGGGGACCCGCAAACCCATGCTTCTCGTTCTCCCCTTCACTTCCTTCTCTCCCTAAAATTGATATTTAAAAAAAAAAAAAGTTTTCTTAAATACGCAAGAAAAAGACTCACTGGTGAAAACAGCAAAAAGAATGGAGATGCCAAGTGGACAGATGCAGAAGAGACAGCAGGTCAGAGAGGCTGGGGCGGAGACAGCAATGCAAGTCACCAAACCGCCAGCACACAGCCCTGCACACAGGCTGGACTCGGGGGCGCGCACGGCCGGCACGGCCGAGCCCCTCCAGGAGACCGGGCAGGCGCCCCGGGCTGAGGGGCCGGGAACCCGGGGAGAGGGCTGCATGGAGGGGCTGGTCCGCCGTAGCCCACGGCCGCTCCGGGGAGCTCTTTTTCCTCACCTCCAAGGCACAGGGACTCCTGGGGGCTCCCCGCCCCCGCCCCGAGCTCCAACCCTGAACCTCGATCTGGGAGCCGCCGGCCCGCCCAGGGCGGCCCAGTTTAGCTAGTGAGGCCCGGGGCGGCTCCGTCAGCCTGCGACTGAGACGTTCTTTTCCACGCTGGGACGCGAAGGGCAGGGACGCTGGGGAGACAGGGCCGAGGGCAAAGCTCTGGGGCACTGCGGCAGCTTGGACAGGGTCCCCGAAAATTCCTGTCCACCTGGGACATGCAACGGTGACCTTTGCAGCTATAATCGGTTAACTTAAAAGGAGGCTGTGCCGAGCGAGAGCGGGTCCCAACCCAATGCCAGGTACCCCTGTGAGGGCGGCGGGGGGCAGGGAGGGGGGTCTGTGACGCCCAGGCAGCTGCCCTGCTGCCCCTCGGCTTGAACTTGGACTCCCAGCCCCCAGCCCGGGAGAGGACAGGGTCCGCTGCTCCAAGCCGCTCCGTGTGCGCCCGTCGGGCACAGCCTCCACAGGAAACCAACAGAGCGGCACCTCAGAGCCAAGCTGGAGCAGCTGGAGGTGGGGACGGGGACGGGGACAGGGGTGCTAGGCCGCTGAGAGGAGGAAGCCCGGAGCCAGAGCCCAGCGGCCACCAGCGGCGGCCTCCGAGCAGGGCGCTGGCGGAACCTGGAAACCCAGGGCGTGGGCACGGCCAGCCCAGGCGGCAGGTCCAGTCGATGCGAGGCAGCGGCAACGGGTGACGTTCAGAACGCGGGGGGCAGGAACCTTGGCACACCCCGAGCGACCCAGAGGGCCGAGCGCAGCGCCACAGCCGCACGCGGCCGCGTCCTGGAAGGAGCTGTGCTTTTCGTCCTCGCTTTTCCTCTCCTGCCCACACACTACGGCTGAACACTTTTATTATAAAAACAGTTAAAGATAAAAACAGACAACAAAACGGGAGTATTGAAGAGGACACCTTCACAGGACAACACTGGTGGCCTCGGCGGGGGGAACTGGAACAAGGCCCCCTGAAAACAAGACCCAGACCACGGGAGGCGCCAAGGCAGGACACCACGCGCCTGTCCCGGGAGCTCAACTTAAAAAGAGGAAAACAAGAACAGAGGCTGAAAAGGGCACCAAGGCTGGGGGTGGGGGAGGGGTTCTACAAGAGCGGCCTGTCGGCCGGCGAGGCAGACGCGGAAGTCCCGGGACGGAGGGGACGGAGGGGACGGGCGGGAGGTGGCCTCTGGCAGAGGGGCCTGGTGTGGTGACTGCGGGCCCAGGCCCCGAAGGCGAACCACTCGAGTTCAAACTCGGTTCCACGGATTCCTGGCCGGGGCCCCAGCTGATGCCCGGCCTCAGAGCTGACCTGTGGGCCGCACGCAGCCACAGGCCGCTCCGTCCGCGGGGCCCCGGCGACAGGCGGACAGCATCAGGACCCGCTGCCACGGCAGTGCCGGGTGCGGGGCGGGGCTGGGCTGGGGTCCGGGGCGGGGTGAGCTCCTCCCCGCAGGCCCGCTCCCCAGCCTCCCACCTCCCCGACGGCCGCCTGTGCAAGCAGACCCCAGCCACCCCCACAGCGCTTCCCAGCGCCTGTGCCGCACCAGGGGGAGACCATGCCACCGCCACCAGCTGCCCGCGGGCCCTGCCAGGCCCTGGAGGAGCCCCCTCCCTGCTCACGGGCTCCTCGCTCTGAGCCCTGAGGGAGAGCGAGGCGCGCCAGAGCACCCCTCCCGCACAAGCCCCGCGCCCACTGCGGACAGGCGGCCCTGCCCGCTGACTCCTGGGCCACCTCCGATTCTCCGCGGCCCCTCCCTTCTGGTCCCATTCTCCGTCCTCTAGTGCCGCCCCCTGTGCTGTTCCCCGGCCCTTCTCAAGCTACCCCAGCAGGCCTCCGACCTTTGGAGCCTCTGGGCTCCTCTCCCCAGGGAAGGGCGCACACCAGGACGGGAGCTGTCTCCTGCCGAGGACACCCCTGGTCCCTGCGGGCGCCCTGGGTCACCGCCGAGAGGGGCCAGGCCAGGCCGCCACGCAGGGAGCCAGGTCGCGGGCCGCTGCCTCCTTCATGACCGAGGGTCCTGGGCCCTGTCCACCATGTCAGAAACGGAGGGACGGCCTAGTGCGGTCTAACGGCCTGTTACATGTGACCATAGATATCACTTTCACAAAATGACAAGAAAAGTAACTGGGCGAGAAGAGCAGTGCCTCACGCGTGTGCACACGCTGCTGACGTCCCCTCCACACACGCCGCGTCGCGGTGTCTCGTTCCGGTCCAAATTCTGAGTTGGACAAATGGCCCGTTAGGTTTTCTCCATAAAATAAGACACGTTTTTCACTCCCACCGCCGACTCTGCTCTGTGGGTCTCCTGTGTCTGTTCGCCGCCTCTGGCCGGTGGCAACCGCAGGGCACCGCCCAGCGCACCGGCAGCCCCTCGGCACAGGGCCGTGGCCAGCGGGCCGACGGCGCCATGACCTCTCACGCCGCTGCTGGCACGCCTGGCCGGTCACAGCGCCTTCTCCATACACGGCACGGATCTTTTTTTTTATTTCCATTGTGTTTTTACCTTTCTTGGAATAATAAAAACACAACACCCCAAAAATGTTACGCATCTTCTTCCATCTTCAACAATAAAGTGGCTACATAAAACATCAATTTTGACGAGTTTTTAAAAAATGCACGCTGATATGTCAGCTGTCACAATGCAACCTAACAAAATTGTTTCAAACGAAGTTAAAGACAACTAAGCATTATTGGAGCCATCGTCCCGACAAAACGTAACAAGCTTTTTGACCAACCCATGAGGAAAACTCGGCCTCGCACAGTGCCAGGTCGGGAAAGGCCGCGGGGCTCCCCCCGCCGTGTCTGACGGGCGCGACGGCCAGGCCCCCCACGTGGGCAGTGCCCGCAGGTGGGTCTGCACTGCTCCCAGCCCAGCGCGGGCCTACTGCCGAGCTGGTCGCGCCATCCGGCCGCTTGGAAAGTGCCGGCTGCCGACGGGAGCCGATCACCCAAGGGCTGGCGAGCTCGCGGCACAGCCGACGAGAGTGTTGTCAGCACCACCCCTGCCTCACGGGGGGCCGCGCAGTCCCAGGAGGCCGCCAGCTCAGGGCAGCAAAGGCGCGATTTCCAACACCCGCCTTTCCATTCGAAAGCTCTGACTCCATTGCTCTACCAACAGCGTCCGTCACTCCTGAAGTGTCTGGTTTGCTCCGTCATTTTCAAGGAAGCACCTGCTGCCAACGGCCCTGCCCCCACAGCCACCGTGTGTCGGCTGCCCTCTCCGCCCCAGGCCCCAGGGCGGCGGCCCGGGGCAGCTCTGTGCGCACTCCCCACTTCGTGACACAGGCAAGGACAACGAAGGGCTCAGGGTCGCCATCAGTGCCGTCCGTCCTGGCCGGACACTGGATGAAACTGGACTTCTTCACCACGAGTCCGCATGCCCGCGGTCACTGCTCGCCAGGCTTGACCTCGGCCCTGAGGCCACCACGCCAGCCCCCACCGCACGCACGCCGCCGCCGTAGGCTCCCAACTCTGGCTCGGACGCGAGGTTGGGGGGAGGTCCCCGCAACCCCCAGGGGCGCACAGGAAACACTTGCAGGCTTCTTGCTCTAAGTGGTGATTCCTCCCAAGGCTCCAGCCCCCCTCTAAATGCAGACAACTCAGAGCGCGCCTCCAGAGTGCCGCACCCCACGCGCACAGTCAGTGACTCAACAGCTCCCTACCGTGCGTCCCCCTTCAGGGCCGGTGACACGGGAGTGACAAGGCACAAGGAGCGATGGGCTGGAAGGCGGCAAGGCAGGCCGCGCAGACCGATGGGATCAGAGGGCCCGGCATGCGGCTGCCTGTCCACAGGGTCCGCTGAGGAGCTCCGCAGGGACAGGAAGAGGAAGTACAAGGAGGGATGCACCCTGGACGCAGGACGTGGGACCGCGCCCTCAAGCCCAGGATGCATAAACCATCCCCTCTCCACCGAACACGCAAAGTGAATGCAAAGCAGCCACCCAGCTGCCCAGGACGACAGGCCCCTGTGGTTGGCCCGCCTGCCCTCTGCTCAGCTCCCTCTGGCCCCAGCTCTGCCTGCTGCCCTGAC